TCTCATAACCACTGATCTCTTTGCTGACTTCGTCAATCTCGGCCCTGCTCGACACAAGAACCGAAACGTCGTCAGCATAGACAGAATACCTGGCTGAGGTGGTAGCCCCAGGGAGGGAAATTCCATGCAGGACCGGATTCGCCTTTAACTTGCGAAGGAAAGGTTTCAACGCAAGAACGTATAGCAAAGGAGAAAGCGGACAACTTTGACGAATGGAGCGAGACAATACAAAAGGTTTCGATCTTACCCCATTCACTTCCACCAGCGCACCGGGGGTCGCATACAAAAGTCGGATCCAGGAGCGAAAATCGTCTCTGAAACCGGCCGCCGAAAGGACAACCTCCAGAAACCGATGGTCAACCCTATCGAAGGCCTTGGACTGATCTAAATTGATCAGCGCAGCTTCAGTGTCGACTTGCTCTAAGATCAAGCGTACCATATGAAGGTTATCCTGAATAGTCCTGCCCTTCCCAGCCCACGTCTGTTCGGAGCCAATCAGACTAGACAGGACAAGCTGCAAACGATTGGCTAAGATCTTTAACTCTGTGTTTAACATGGTTAAAGGGCGAAAATTCCCTAACATATCCCCACCGTTCTTGTCCTTACGCAGCAACTTGATCACACCCCTGGTGAAGCGTTGAGGTATAGACCCTGCTTCATCCAGTGGTTGAAAATCAGTTCCAGCAAAGGAACAAAAACGTGCGACAGCCTCAAGTAAACTTCGTAGGGAAGACCATCTAGTCCCGGAGATTTATCCAGGCCAACCTGCTTCAGCGCTTCCCAGATTTCCGCCTCTGTGATGGGACCCTCGCACCCAGCCGCTTCAGCTGCCTCGAGGCAGGGAAACTCGGCTAAATAGGCGTCGAACCGAGTAGGGCTCAGACCGGGCTCCCTGGTGAAAAGATCCTGAAAGTAAACTCGAAAGGCCTCGCATATGCCCGCGTTTGTAGTCACGGTCCGCTTATCCGGCAATGTGACGCACGCGATATGTCGTCGAGACGCGCTCCGATTTTCCTCTGCACGCAGTTCTGCGGCCATATTCATCGCCTCAGAGGACATTCTTTTTAACCTAGCCCTAACTACCAGAGCTTGATCCTTCTTGATAAGCAAGGAGGACAACTCTGCCTTAGCTAAGGCTATTTCCCCACTAACACGGGATTTCACTGCCCGATCAACTTTTTCTTCCAAAGCTGTTTGCGCCGCTAATCACTCTAGATTGAGTCGACGACTAAAATCGGCAGCAAACGTTCTAATTTTAGATTTTAAATTATCCCACCAGGCGTTTCCCACTACCGCCCCCGTCAATTCCCTCTGAATCATTAGTAGCAGCTGGTTCCGGAAATCCTGCTCACCAAATAATGAACAGTTAAATTTCCAGTAACCAGCCAAACTAACCTTAGGCTTATCTAAGTTTACACGGACCCGGACAAGCCTATGATCCGAATAAATTATATAATGGACACCCTAAGAACCCTACATCAACTTTCTTAACTAAGACTCAGTTTAGGTAGCTAGCAAGCGTCCCAGGAGCCGAGTTGCCATTATTTGTCCAACTCCATGCTACCTCCCGAGGGTGCTCATTCAGGTACTTATCGACAAGATCAAACCCACCGATAAAGTTCACATCAGGATTGTTAGTACCCGGTTTTTGCCCTATCCGATCTATATCGGGGTCAAGGACGGCATTCCAAACCCCCGCTAAAACTACCCGACGAGATGTCGTCAAAAACGGCTCGATCCGCCGAAACAAAGCAGGTCGTTCAGAATGGATATTGGGCACATAAACCGCAATGAGACGCAAAGCCTTATCCTTTATGGTAACGTCCAGCACACAAAGCCTGCCCGTCGGATCTGCGAAGACAAGAATACATGCAGCCTCCAAAGACCTGCTCACCAGCCAAGAGACACCCCTCGAACGACCATCAAAACATGATGAATAAAGGGAGAACCCTCTAGACAGCACGTCCTCACGGTTATGAGAAGAAAACCGGGTCTCTTGCACACAACAAACATTTACCCCGAGGCGCTGAAGGTCGCGAGAAAGCCTCGCCCTGCTAGACTCCAACCTCAGGCCCCGGACATTTAAACTAGCTAACCAGAGCGCCATAGAGAAGTCCGATTCGGGTTGTTTACCTGAATTGAACATAGCCGTAGTAAGGATACCAACAGCCTCTCCCGATATCCCAGGGGAAAAGCAATTTTAGTGCTCTATAAAGGGAGGGGTGAACGAAAACCGGGACCCTCCCTGCACAAAATTGCTTCATTTTTCTTAATTTATCGTTTTCAATAAAAAATAAATTGACCTAAATGCATTCAAATAAATAAATAAACTAACAAACTGATCCCGATATACTGACCGTTAGAAAAAACAAATAAAGATAATCAATCCAAATAAATACATGAAGTAATAAACAAATTAAAACCTGTTCCCGCCAAAATAATAGTTAGAATAAACTACAACAATCAACCGCAAAATTGAATAAATAGCTTTAATTATCTTCCCAAAAAAAAACAAAACTATTAAATAAACGATATAAGCAAATTTTTACTACGTTAATGAAAACACCGATTAAAATAAAATAAAAAAATATATATATAAGATAAGAAATAAAAGAAAAAAAATAATAAAAAATGAAAATAAATAATAACAAGCAAAATAATTTAACCCAAATAAATAAATAAGCAAATAAACGACTTCCCGTAAAATAAGCGCCAAAATAGACTACCCAAAATGCACAACTGACCGTTATATATAGATAAATAGCCGAGAAAAATAACAGCACTCGTGGCCTGACGATGGCATCTAGCATGAAACAAACTGTCACCTCTAATCGTTGACTTCTATGTTCACTTTTATATTTACACGCGCTCTATCTATGATATTGAGCACTTTATCCCATAAAATAGTACATCTTAAGACTATATTTCTTCATATATATATATATATATATATATATATATATATATATATATATATATATATATATATATATTTGTGTGTGTGTGTGTATGAGGGTATATATATATATATATATATATATATATATATATATGTATAAATACACACATACACACTCACTCACACACACACACTCACACACACATGTATATATATATATATATATATTATAGTAAAAAAAAGAAAGAACAGTAAGATATATAATCCAGTGTTCTTGATATTTTTATTTTTTAGAAAACATTGCTCAATGTAAAATTACAGAGCATAAATATTATAAATTAACTATATGGTTTCATCGCTACACAGGAATTGCCATGTTTCAAAAACAGAAACTAAAAACTTCAAATTCAATTATATGATTAAATTAAAAGCATTAGTTCTATTTCATCTTCAAGCGAATTTTGGAATAACTTATTTTGAAATTTACTGAGTTTTAAAATCACATATTCATAATTTTAGTTTGCAAGGATACAGAGATATCCAATCATTTCGACAGAGGCGGTAGCGTGTTCTTTTTTTTATTAACTATAATTGTATCAATTATGAGTTACGCTCGAAAAGAATTTACGTCTAGGTATGGTAGGGGTGCCTTTTTCAACGAATTATGACATCAGTTTAACGCATGTCGTCTGTTTTTTTTTTTCGGCATATTATTCGTTAAATTTCTACTTGTATACATACAGATTCTTTCTAAAAGGGGTGTTTGGATTAGAATACGTTGTATTGAACTACAATTTTAAAATATTATTTTTTACTTTTAATTACTAAAATCAAGTAATCAAGTAAATGTAATAGAATTACTTAAATTATTTAAAAATTATTATTACATATAAAATATAAGTATGTATATTACCAGCTACGCTTTTTTCAAAATATTATTTAAGGGGAAATTTTTAACAATGTCGGCAAAGAATAGCTATTTCATGTCTATGATTCAGTAAATTTTTATTTTTTATAAACCTAGTAAAATATAGTTTCTCATGTATGCACAAAGGACATGGGTCATTTAATGCCCTACATATTGTAGCTTTTCTTATTAATTTCAGTGGCTATTGTGTAAACATTTGTAAAGTGTTACTATATCATTGAACATGTCAGTGCACGCACCCATCACGCGTAGAATTTTTTTTCTGAAAAATCATCGAATGATCTTGGTATTCCATGACGCGGCAATACGACGTGGACTAATGTTTAGCTCAGGCTAATCTGCTTGACAGTTAAAACTGACTAGCAAGTTCGATACTCACTGGGTGCCCAATGCAAAAATCGAGATAAAATGACCGACGAACAGGAATGTTCTGTAATGAGGTGTTATCATTACTTAAATTTATTTGCACTGGAACGGATATCCTCATCTTTGTTGTTGTTATCACGTTTATGAAGAATTTATGGAGCTGCAGTCTAAATTATTTTAACATTCGCACAAAAATATCTCTTAGATTCGATTTCTCATTTATCTCCACCATTTCATAATTGAATTTATTTCAGATTGTTACCACCTGGAAATTCACTGGCTTACGGACGCATAAACTTGTAACACCGTTTCCTCTACTATCATCAAAGTTAAGCAGAGTCGAGTCTGGTCATTACCTACATGGGTGACCGCTTTGGAATACCAGGAGTCGTAAGCTTGGACATGCGGGATGTATGTCTTATGGACATATCACGTTGAAATATCGGTTTCTATACAATCACCCCAAGTTAGGCAATATCGAGATGGGTGATCGCTTGGGAATATCAAGCACTTTAAGCTTGGGCATGCAGATGGTATTTATTACGGCCATATCAAGTTGAAACACCGTTTCCCGTACGATCATCGAAGTTGAGCAACATGGAGTATTGTCCGCACCTAGACGGGTGACCACTTGGGAATACCAGGTTCTTTTAAGTTTGGCTATGCTAGTTTTATGTCTTGCAGCCACATCACTTTCCCCCTATGATCACCGAAGTTAAGCAATACCAAGCCTGGTCAGTACGTAGATGGGTGACCGCTTGGTGATGCTAGGTGCCGTATACTTGTACATGTTCGTGGTAAGTTTTACAGCCATATTACGTTGATACACCAGTTTCCATACGATCACAGAAGTTAAGCAATGTCGAGAATGGTCACTACTTAGATGAGTAAACACTTGGGAATATCACGTGCTGTAAGCTTCGATGTGCGGCCGGTGTAATGACTCGGAATTGTTAATCGGAAGGCCGAGTTTCAATTGCCATTGTATTCGTTAAATTCACTTATGCGCAAATACAGTTGATAAAGGTATGAATCCACCTCTTCTTCCCCAGCTATAGGTTGATTAGTGAGATTCAGTGAACCATTAATATTTTCAAAAATATCTAAAATCTAAAAATATTTTCTGGTTTTTAATACCTGCAGGAAAAAAATGAATTCAACTTTTTGCCCAGCTAATTTTCCAAAATACGATAACATTTAGTTTTTCTGTGATATTATTCTTCAAAATAGACATTCATTTAAAAATAATTATTTATTTAGACACGGGTATTTAAAAAATAGTGTATGTTTAATTTTACTGACATTCTTGTTAAAAATGTAAAATAAAAAAAAATAACCAGTTTAATATTTAAAAAAAAATATACTGCAAAAATATTAAACTGGTTAATTTTGTTTAAATAATCGTATTTTACGGGGGAGGAGGTGATTGATCCGCCCCATCCTATCCATAAAATACGAATATCCGAAAATTTTAATGAGAGAGGATCAGTTCACTATGTAACTTCAACATAAGATGAATCTAGACTATTGAAACAATTTGGAAATTATTTGGAACCTCATAACTCCTTAAAGACAATGGGAGGTAACATAAGATGACAAGTTACCACATTCATAAACACTTTAAAATTTTTAATTCTGAATTCTAAACTCTCTAGACCTTAGAATGTACGGTTCATACACATTTTAGAAGCACCATGTAATTTTTAAAAATAATAGTTTAAGTTAATATTTTTTTTTTAATTTCATTACTCCAAAATCTTTCTCATAATATTAAAAAAAAGTACCGTGTTCAAGTTGCCGGGTTAACTAAAAATTAAAGTTTGTGTATTTTGTCTTCTCCAAGATCGGAATGAATGAGAACGTTGGTTAAAGGCAATACGTGAGGACAAGACCCTTGACAAACCAAACACTGTTGTTTGTTAAAGGCAGGTTCTATCTGATTATTAAACATTGGTTATTACAAAACAAGTACGACCCAGAAATCCACTAACAATATTTGATCATTTGCTATAAGTGTATTCCTTATTCATCAGTCAAAACCAACAGACAAAACTTCTACTGCTATGCGAAATGTGCAAAATAATGAATTGGCACAGTTTCTAGAAAAGTACAAAATCCTCACTTTTGAAAAATCGTATCAGATTCACAGGATTTTCTCTCGGCAGCTGCATGCTATAAATCAAACAATCAGTTTTTCATCCAATCTGTTGATTTTCTCAATGTTTTAATTAAAACTTTTGAAAACTTGAGATTTGAATGTTACAATGTTGGTATATATACAAGATTTTTTCTCTTTCAAAATCTTGAATATCAGTGTTTCAGCACTGGTTCTATGTCAATGAAGCAATCATTATCTTAGTAACTTAATTGATAATAAGAAAAAAATTAAAGAGCATATTAATGTTATATCAGCATAAACGATTGAGATAAAACATTATGATTCTGATATTCTTATCCGGGCATTTTAATACTTTGTTTCGGTTATTATATAACGGACTTCAGAATGATTTTAAGTTATCCTGTGTGAGAACACTCGCATGACAAGAGAGAGCAGAACAACAAATGCACCCTTGTGGAAATTAATTGAAACAAGATGAATAATTCCGTTATTATTTACTTTCTTTTCGTATCATGAAACATATATGCATATGTTAGTATTCCGTATGTCCATTCCACGAACTCGTTCCTTGCAGATTGTCCACAGATTCTCGATTGAATTTAAATCAGGAGAGTTTCCGGGCCAATAGATAGTACTTTGATTTGCTCACTGGTAAGGCTTATCAGTGTGTTCGTGCAACGTTACAATTTTCGTGCGCTTACTTGGAGTAACATCCATCGCAGACAATGACAGTAGGACAACTAATTGACAGTCGAGACAATAGTGTCTGGACTTGATAAAAACCTGATGTAATCACAGATGGCACAATATTTTTCACGGCCAAATAAATTTCATCATTCACCCCAAAAATAGATTCATATTACTGCACACCCCTGCAAATTACTTAATCCGAGGAAAAAGAAAAAGAAACAGAAATATATTACTCCACTCCACTGAGTCTAAAATTGACCGTATATTGAAAGAAAGGAAAGCGGTCGTTTCATTTCATTTGTACAAAGGTGTAATCTATGTCAGTCAATGTGGTATGATACTTGAATAATTAAGCATTTTCTAACGATGATATCATACATTAAATAGATATCGATTAGCCTGAAATCAATTGTTAACTGCAATATCATAGACCTCCATTGAAAACATTTTCAAATTATATTATACTAGTGTCAAGGCTGCATTCTACGTGGACTTTTAATCTAGCTCCTGCGGAGGGCAAATTAGAATTCCGGCCCCCGAATAAAGGGTTAAGCTTAGAAAACAGCAATGATAATTTTGGAGAAATTCTTCAATACATTCTATGGAACTTCAAAACCTCACTTTAATTCTGATTCTGGCCAAAAGACCGATTTGGCCCGAGACTCCCATTTGGGTCGAAATTCCAATTCAGATTGAAAATTGAGTTCTTGAAATCACAAACTCCGTGGAAATTTAATTGATTTGAATTCTTCAAATAACAAAATCTTACGTCACAAAACCTCTCACTTTAATTCTGATTCCTTGGCATTTTCAAGAAATAAAATTGATTTTCTCAATTCACAAAATTTTGGAGATATTTTAAACTGAATTTAAAACAAAAATTTTTAAATTCACAAAGTTTTTGTGTTACTTTAAACTAAATATGAATCAAAAACTTTTAAAATCACCATTTTTTTTTTCAGTTATTTTAAAAATTGAATTTTTAACCGTTCCCTCCTCATCCGTGCATAAATCCCAATGCTGGATGTTCAAACACCAGATGAAGGACAGATTTACAATCCCCGGATCATCATGATTCGAAAAAGGTATAATATGTCTATGTAGAGCAAGTGTAGCCAGAGTTAGAATGGTTTCAGACACACTGACGGACAGACAGAATTTACCGTTTATTTATTTAGATAGATGTTTATAAACTTCATATTATCCGATCATATGCACGACGCTTTAACGGCTCCATTGTCATCCATAATAATTTTAGTTTTTGATAGAGTTATTATTAAAATTTGGCAAGTCATTTGATGCATTAGACAGTAATTCTTTCTTTTGAGCTATAATATTAGGATATTCGGATGGTAATTATGTTCTACTAAAATGCATCTGAAAACAAATGAAAAATATAATTTACTTTTTAAACATCCTAAAATTTAATAATAAATTTGGAAATAATAATAATAATAATAATAATAATAATTTATTATTCTAATAAAAATCATAAATATAAATATCTATCATTCGTCCTAAAATCTAAAGAAACATCCGCAGTTACTGGTCCTGACCTGGCACCTGGGTTTCAGTAACATTTCCACCACTTTAACTTAAATCCCATGTACCTTTTTCTATACATACTTTCATGATAATTGTTCTGATGAACTTTCCTCTATGGTACGTTTATTAATTGGTCTTTCGTTTTTTTAAACTTGTTGTTTTTATTCCCCATCTCCCACAGAAGAAATTATTTCTATGGGAACTAGTTAGGACTTTATAAAGACTTTGAGGTATTATGGTGGGTGTAGTAAGAATGATAAGTAAGAATGTGTTGTTTTGGTGTTGGGAATACTGTGGTGTGTTTCGGTCAGTAATTGTGACTAGCTAAGTTTAAGATAAGACAGATTGAACACCACCCTTCTCCTATTCCTCCTTATGTCACATTTTTGTATTTTCAAAATTAATATTACTTTCTTCTATAGTAGCTAGACTTTATGAATGTAAGCACAGTACTTGATTGGCGGTGAGGTCTCATCATTTTACAATTGAAATGGTTAGATGTAATTGTAAGTTCTATGCTAATAGTTTCTTCTATTGCACTACTCGCTTCCTCAACTCTCTTCTGGCTTTTTGCTTACTAGTCAACTTTGACTTTTACCGACACCCACGCTTAACAAGCCAAAGCTTTGTAAGCGGGATTCTTAGCTGGTCATGGCAGCGGAACAGATACTGCAATATGAACATAGCATCTGACTGCGGAGCAATTTTTTTTTCTTGTTAATTATGAGCCCCCTCTAAATCCTGAACCAGTCTTACAAAAACGCTGGTTAAACTTTTCTATTCCAGTTGTTTATAAAATATGTGCTTGTACCTAAAGGATACGTCAAGGCACTTTTCAGATTAGTGAAACAGAAACTGTTTCTTCAAAATCTCTATATCTCATCAACTGGAAAGAGATGTTTTATTCCACGATGTCTCCAATGGAAAAATGAAAATTGTTATTTGTAATTATTTATCTCTCTTTGAAAACCAACAGAACTGATGGGTGATAAAAACGAGCCTTTGGCAGAAAAAAAATATGACGAAATTTCGATTCAGAAAAAATACGAGAAGATGAAATTCTAGAGGCATAGACAAAACAAGAAAAAGTAAGATTCAAATTTGCAATTATAAATAAAATAGACTAACAGAGAAAGCAAAATTTATTCAAGATGGTGGCCTCTTCAGGCATTATGTTCATTCTGAAAGTGATTGCAAAATGAAGTATTTTTTTTATTCACTTCTTTTTCATGCGAAATTGTGGAATCAGATTCTGAATTGATATTTGGAAGAATATTGATCCCGGAACTAGTTTCAAGTTAAATTCTGTCAACAATTAAGAAAACTAGAATGTGTGTAAAGAGAAAAACATCAAAGTAGAGACAGAAAGAATAATTTTAAAATTGGAATATTTTCAGAAAAAGGCGAGCTTTTGATGTTGAATAACCGAAATATTATGAAAATCACTCAAAAGAAAAATATGCGCATCATATATCGTTATACAGAACGTTATACAAATAATAATTCGTGCAAATGTTTCTCTATTTTTAGAGACGTATTAAGTAAAGCGTGTTCTAATAACAACATTATTTTAAAAAAAATACTTCACAAAATTAGCAACTCAGGGATTTAGTAAAGAGAGAAATGTAGTAATACGATACCCGCAGTTATTTTAGTGTTAATTCATGAAGTTAATTCAGTTTATGTAATATATGCTTTTTTTTATTCGACTCCTGTGTGCGATGGATAAATTGTCGTATAAATTACGCAAATCTGAGAATTGTGCTATCTTGCTGTAGATGTATAACTCTTCGAATCATTCATTGAATTTTAATTGAATATTTTCTTTTTTTTTTGTTTTTTTGTTGCTTTTGTTTCTATTTTTTTTCACCTATCCTTCCTTGTATCGTGTATTTTGTTCCCCCCCCCCATGCTTATTAATTATCAAACTTACCACAGTCCTCCTCCGACCAGAATTTTTTTTGTGAATCTTAATTTGTATCATTAACTGATGCGTTCACACACACACACACATACATACATACACACACACACATACATACATACATACATATATATATATATACTCTGTTTCTACGTAATTTTTAAAAATATACAGTTATTTAAGTAAATGCTGTTTATAATAAACAGTATAAAAACATTTACTGCTTTGAATATCCAAGAAATTTCATAGAAAATATTTTTCCTCCGACATGAATCGAACCTCTATCCTACAGGGACTGTCATTTAGTATGACGTGCTATACCATTTAGTTACGGAGGAAGCGTCTGGTTAACAAAGTGAAATTACTGTTTTTAAACAACAAATTTCCTCACGATCTTTTTTCGAATGATCATATCTGCTCGAAGCGTATCTTAACGTTAACAAATGGATACATATATTATGAAATGGACTAAGTCCGACAATTATTTTAATATATATTCATACTACTGAAATATATTTTCATATTATTTTAATATATTTTCATATTTCATAATATATTTATATGATGCCCGGACTGAGTTCTGCTCAGTTCGACACATTTATTTAGCTGACATTCCCTGCCCCGAGGCGGCTGAAACGGCTGGGTGCGAAGGGCCCATGACAAGGGAGGAAATCTAGGACGCACTAAAGCATGGTGATCGAGACAAAACTCCGGGGATAGATTACAGAAGTGTAATCAGATTGCTACGTAAGAGCAAATACGGTGAGGACGGGCTAGGAAATTTTCGGATTTTAGTATCACAGTTCCTAGATATTTATATTGATGTACGAGCTTGATTTTGGTATCTCCAATTTGTAATTTGCAATTGATGCATAGTCTTTTCGTCTCACTGTCATTCTGTACGAGTTCTTGTTGTTTTTTTTTTACTGTATCTGCTATCAACGCCTTACGACCACATCATGTTGAAACACCAGTTCCCATATGATCACCACAGTTAAGCAACGTCGAGCCTGGTCAGTAACTAGATGGGTGACCGCTTGGGAATACTAGGTGCTGTGAGCTTTTATGTGTGGGTGATGTAATTGACAATTACTCGGAATTGTTTAACCGGATGACCGAGTTCCAATTCCACTCGGGTTCGTTATATTTACTTACTCGGAAAAGCTCTTAGGATAGATATGGATTTACATCTTCTCCCCTAGCTATGAGTTAATTAGTAAGACTTGTATCAGTAAAATATTATTGTCTCCAAAAAAATAGAATAAAATTGTGTACAAAAAATATTTAAATTTTGGCATTAAATAACCCATAGAGGTGTTGGTATGTAGACAAACAAAGACAACCAATCGAACCAATCAATCTGCTATATGTGTCATCTGAATATTGTTATCTTGTTAAGATTGTGGCTGCCAATAATAAATCCTTGTAGGACTAATAATTATCTCAGAAACTGTATAAGTTGAATAAGTCCGGTGAGAAGACCCATCCTTGTCTTAAGCCTCTTTCTATTTTTGCATATTTATTGAATTCGTTTTCTATCCGTATGCAGGTGGTTTCCTGCTAGGTTATCAATTATTCTAATATTCTTAATAAATTTGTCAAGGTTGCTTTGCTATTGCAACAATTCTTTGTTCGCTTCTTTATGCAGTCTCTGCCGTGCCATTCCTGTTACACGATACACCCTTGTGCAAATTAATTGAAACAAAATGAATAATTCCGTTATTATTTACTTTTTTTCGTATTTTTCCAATGAAACATAACCCAATGCACAGGTTAGTACTTCGCATGTCCATTCCACGAAGTCTTTCCTTGCAGATTGACCCCAAGTTTAATTGGATTTAAATCAGGAGAGTTTCCAGGTCAGTACTTTGATTTGCTCACTGCTAAGGCTTGCCAGTGTGTTCGTGCAGCGTTACAATTTTCATACGCTTCCTTTGAGTAAATTCCATTACAGACATGACAACTAATCGACAGTCGAGACAATAGTGTCTGGCCGTGATGACAATCTGATGCAATCACGGATGACGCAATATTTTTCAAGGCCAAACAAATTTCATCGTACACTCCGAAAATATATTCATTATTATTGCACAACACAGCAAATGACCTAATCTGAGGAAAAATAGAAATCGATTACACCCTGTCACTCCAGTGGATCTAAAACTGATCATATGGTGAAAAAAAGAAAACTAAAGCAGTTGTTTCAATTAATTTACAGAAGGGTGTAAGTGCTACGAAGCTTCTATCATGACATTCCAATGGTGAGACGAACTCCTTTATTATACTGCTAACCATCCAAGCAAAAATTAAAAGTAAAGAAAATTAAACTAAAACATAAACGTAAGTGGAGGTTTTACATTTGAATATTTTGTCCAAATTACTGATGCCAGAAATACAACATATACAGGTTTTAAGCCGTTTGAAAAACCGTCCTGGGTATGACAAACTTCATCCGCGCCCTGGCTACGACGATAAACTCCATCCGCGTCTTGGGTAAGACGATAAACTACGTCCAACAGCAAGGCCTCTGATTATGAGGTTTTGAGGAACGTGGAAACACCTCATAATTGCTGGTATTCACATGTTTATCTTGGCTTGCAGTCAAGGGCCCCAGCTGTAGGCAAATAGTTAACCCCTAAATTAGGGTCAAAACACTATGAAAGTGTAAAAAGTAGGTTTTAATATCAGAAATACTTTTTTGTATACATTATTACCAGAAATACATTTTGTAAAAAAAATATTAGCAGCAAAAGATTTTTGACGAAATAAAAATTAGCAGCAATTTTGTCGGCATTAAATAACCTATTGTGTTTGATATGCCGTAAAACAAAATAAACCAAACTAAATCGTTTGAAAAAATAACTTTATAAATCCTGATTCTATTCCTTTTAAATTTTATTCTTTAATTCATAAAATCTATCAAAGCCGGCACTCTTAAATAAAGAACATTATTCAAATAGAAATTTATATTGGGTTCATATATATATATATATATATATATATATATATATATATATATATATATATATATATATATCAGTACTGCGAAGATACAGCCTCGCTGGGCAGAAGACAACGGTTTGAGTAGAGGGTTGAGCTGATGAAATCAACAGACACGTGTCCATGATCAAGACAAACCTTCATGTTGGAAGTCATCGACTATGGTTTGAACTGGGGAGGGATGGGTTTCGCCAGATCTACTTGCCAAAGACACTCAATGAATATTTTTTTGTGGAATTATCGTTATTTACACTATCATTATTTACACCTTTTATATTCGGACTATTGTACTCATCCTTCGGCCTTTCTCAGGTGCTGAGTACCCTACAGGAAATTCCGAAGTGAACCCTCGATTTAATCTACGAGGGTAGACTGTTGTTATTCCATTGTTCATTTCTGGGGATATCGTCTTGTTCTCATTTTATTTAGTACTCTTAAGTTTTAAATAAAATAAGATAAAATGATTATCGATTCAGAGTGAGAACTTGGAGAGCAGAGTTCGAATTCCAGTCGAGTTCATTAGATTCACCTACGCACAAATACCCTTGGGAAAGTTATGAATCCATTTCTTCTTCCCGCACCTATGGGTTGAACAAGGTTTCAAACTATTGCAGAAAAAATATGCCTCCTCAGTCATATATCGAAAGATACAGGATCGCCCAAGCGTGTATCACGTGTGACATTTAACTGACAGACTCTTCCCATATTTCTCGCCGGTTTACACCGAGTGAAAGTACACAGCTGGTATTGAACTCAAAATATCACCAAATTCACAAACCAACGCTTTTATCCACTAGGCTATTGTCCACGAAGTAAACTTAGATCTTTAAGCCTAACCTTCACTGCTGATTAGGCTGCCACTGCTTCTGCTATCCAAGTTTTGATTACTGTTGCTGCTGCAGTTGAAGATTTGCTATCATCTCTCTTTATTTATTAGCGGCTCCCATGTTGTATTTATTTCTAGCTAGACCGTTTTTTAGCAAAAGTTAAGGAGTGGTCATCCGTCCCTGTAGAATGAAGTGAAAATAGTGGACAGAGTAGGATACTGGAAAGTAAGACGTCTGAAAGAATCAGTGCATATGCTAAGCTATGAGGACCTCAGTAAGGGTGAGGACAATAATCCGAATATAAAGAGTGTAAATAATTCTTTCAATCCAGGAATTTGCACAGTGGTACATCGACTCTACAACTGCTTCCGCTTCTGGAACCAATGATGATGGTTGGATAAAATAAATATATAAGTTTCAGGAATATCCAAGGAAATTTGCCCCCCCCCCCCGCTACCCTGTGCCGCGCCAGGAAATTTTTCTCGCCGGAGTCGAGCCTTCAAATCTACAAATCAACCATTTACCCTTGTCTGGGGTATTGCTGCCATATATGGTCTGGAGCCCTTTCTGTTTGTCTGTAGGTCCTTGATAAGATCCAGAGACGGATATGCAATGTAACTGGCCCTGATCTGGCATCTTGTCTGCAGTCGCTCGCTCACAGACGTGCCGTCGCCTCCCTCTGTCTTTTTTACAAATACTTTCATGGTAACTGCTCTGAGGAGCTGCTTTCTCTGTTTCACAAACTTCATGAATTTAAGTGTTCGACTAGCCTGGCATCTATCACACCCCCTTTCACTGTCGAAACTGTTAAATGTAGCCGTCTAATCTACTCCAATAGCTTCATGTCTCGCACCTCTCGACTGTGGAACTCCATCCCTTCTTCCTGTTTCCCTGATAGCTATAATCTCCAACTATACAATCAACGTCTCCAGATGCCCTGATCTATCCCCTATCCTTCTCTTCATCCTTTCCTCTATCCCTCCTCTTTGCTCTCGCTCCAACCCTCTGTATCCCATTGCGTGCTAGTGGCTTCTCGCCTTGTTTGGGGTGAAACGCTTATAAAAATAATCAGACCGTAATAAACCGTGGAAAATGAGAATTATCCCTTGCTCTTACAAAATGTTAAAATGGCGGATGTAGAGAGAATGATGGCACATGTTTAAATGGTAAACATGGACCCAACAACAAGTCAAGCAACACCTATCGGTCAGTATTGTATGAAGAGGCCGGATATGTTTTCGTTCAAGCAGTTTCGGGGTTCAGTTTCTTTTATTTCTTTCAATGGAGAAACCGTTTATTTGGACAAAGGCTATATAATGAATATGTTACTTTTTATCTGATCTTTCCGGGCCTCCTGAAACTTATCCATGGACCATCTAGACGGTCATTGGTCAATGGACCCCATGTTAAGCAGCTTTTCTATACAGTTAGGAGAATATAGATGAGCCTCCCATCGTCACGATATTTTTTCAGAGTATTTCTTTGCGTTAAATACTGAAGAATTCGGTTTACCAAAAGCAGGACATATAATGCTTCGTTTGTCCAATCACACTGATAGCAATAAACGCTTGCCGAGGTGGTTTGTCTATGTTGCAGTAGCGTGCAATAGACGACACTTTTGTATACCATCAGAAATCCGGAAGTATTTCTGTGGATGGATCGGGGTATTAGTGCTGGTACTGATATCTAGTTTTGCGATAATAACTTTGTCTTTTTTTTTCTGCTGACAGGCAAAAACCTGTTTTACTACACCTGTAACCAATCAAAGGAAGGACGTCGTTCGCCATGACCTCCAGAAAATTAATCTGGTTCTGGCGGACGTTCTGACACTCCGCCAAGATCGTGATAGCTGGAGGAACAAGGTGTCTCCCGAAGGCTCATGAGATTTAGCAAGAAGCTGCATTTAATATAATTTCATAAAATCTTAGTAAAATATTTCGACACGAAAACAATATTTCTATACAAACACGAGGAATCTAAAATTGCATTAGTTATTTTGTTTAAAACTTCACTTGGAAATATCGTAGGCATCCATTTATATCGCGAGATAAAGGTAGCGCCATCTTTGGTCAAAATTTAGTCTTTGGTGGTGAAATTGGAGGGGTCTCTCCAGGGCGGGTACAGGCCTAGACGATAGTATAGGGAGACCGCGTGCTCTCCTCTCAGCCGTAATGGCAAGAGCCAAATAAATACAGGGTATTATATTTGGGAACGGTTTGGCAGCAAGAGTTG